ATTCGGCTGTTAAAACTTGTGCATACTTCACGAAGTTCTCGTGTTGTGTTTTTCAGCTCCATTAATTCACTTATATTCCTCTCTAAATTGTGTATTCTTGTTAACATTTCGTCAAACCTTTTTTCAAAGTTCTTAGTTTCTTTGCATTGGGTTAGAACAAGTTCTTTTAATTCACTGAAGCTTCTTATCATCCACCTTTTGAAGCCTGCTTCTGTTAATGGAACACACTTGTTCTCCATCAGGCCTTGTTCCGTTGCTGATGAGGAACTGTGATCCACTGTAGAGGGAGAGGCGTTCTGATTTTGGGTATTCTCAGCCTTTTTAGGCTGGTTTCTTCCCTTCATTATAGATTTATCCATCTGTGGTCTTTATAATTACCATCTTTATAATTGGGTTTCTGAGTGAACGTCCAACTTGTTGATTCCCAGCACTAAAATCTGAGCAACCCACTGCACCAGCTAAAACAGCGGCGTTAAGATTGATGGTGCTTTTCTGACTCTGCACCAAGAACCGCCGCACCAAGGCAGTGGCAAAACTGCCCCGCCGGCCACAAGAGTCGTGCTGGTGACCCATGGGTCTCCTCCGCTGGGAATCTCCTGGTGCGTGAACAACAAAAATTCGTCTGAAAGTGTGGCGTCCTCTCGTTCTCTGCGCTTTCACTGGGAGCTACAATCCCGAGCTGCTAGTGATCAGCCATCTTGGCTCTCTCTCCAATGTAAAAGTTTTCTTAATGTCTGGTGGTCAATGATTGTCCACTCATACTTAAGAGCGATGCATTAAAAATGTTGATTGTAAGCATGGAGATGCTCATTAGTGAGATGTTTCTTTTGGGAGAATTTCAAGTTGTCTCTGTAGGTATTATTATTATTATGACCATTATCACTGTGATTATCTGCTAATCAAAACAACAGCAACAATAACAACAACAGCAACAATAACAACGACAACTTTCTAACTTCCATACTCAATCTGGAAACAAATATAATCCTGTCTTGAGCTCAGTGAATTCTAGCACAGACCATTTCTGCTGGATATATATTACACACAATGCAGATAATTTTGTAAAGGAGTTCTCTTGTATCTTGTTTAAATGGAAAATTATATTTTTCATGTTGCTCCCTCCTGATTGTCTTCTAAAATGATGGAATAGAGGTTTGGGGGAATTTCTAACTGTCTAGGTATTTTATTCTGGGCAGATCGGTTTCTTTCATGTTTCTAGGTAGGAGGTAAAAGTCTATGTCCAAGTTTTTTCACACTCAGTGCAGGGAGTGGTCAGCACACAGACATCCCTCTTTTCAGTACAGTACTGAAGTGCTTAGCTGAACCTGGTGTCCCTGTGTCCTGAGTTTCCCAAATTAGCCTTTTTAAAAATATGTATACTGAGCCTCTGGAAGTCTTCCAGGGAGAGGAAGGGGAAGTTATTGAGTAGACTGAGTGGACAGGGAGAAAGATTTGGAAATATAACTACTTTCTTTTCTTTGTATATTTCAACCAGTTATATCGTGAGCTCCATGGGTACCCCCACATCCAGAGTTTTCTGGTACCCTTTGTTACTAGGCTTTCTGTAGCTCTGTAGTAGGGATTGATCTGTATCTGGTTTTCCCTCATAGTTGGCTTTTTAACATTATTTATTTACTTATTTATAAAATTATTTTCATGTTTCTTACATAATTTGCCACTTGTCCAATGGTCTTTGTTTCCATTAAAAATATATATTATCTAATCTCTGATTCTCTGTCCTTATGGGTTTATGTCTTCTTTAACCTCTGTTCCCTAATTTTAGCAGACAATCCAGAGAAGCAATATAAAAATATAATTTTTCCATTGAAACAGAATGCAAGAAAGCTCCTTTACAAAATTATCTGCACTGTGTGTAACATTTATCCAGCAGAAATGGCCTGTGTTAGAATTCATTGAGCTCAAGATAGGATTGTATTTGTTTCCAGATTGAGTTTAGAAAGTTAGAAAGTTATATTTTAGTTTAGCAGATAATTCCAGTAAGAGCAAATAATGATGACAGTGATAATAATAACGGCCATGCCAGCAGTTCACAGCACAATGACTTGAAGCGGGGGAGGCTGGGTTTTCATCAGTCTTTCATTCAAGTTAGCTTTAATACTCTCTCCTAGTATACAGAAAGAAAGAGGGCATTCTTTACATGTGTGTAACATTCTTGAAAGCAGTGTTATATATTCTTGATATATCCATTTCACAAGGTCTCATTATCACAGATGATTTCAGGTACCTGAACAAAGAACATAGAAGGCAAAAACTCAGGTATTTCCTTTATGTCATCAACAACATAAACATATTCGAATTCCAACCGAGATAGATTTTTACTCTACTTTAGATATATTTATATTTAAATATTTTAAATATTGGGCTTGGTGGATATTTATTTCTTTTCAGATGTCTGTGATAATGATCTGCATGTTTCTGGTGGCATGGTCCCCTTATTCCATCGTGTGCTTATGGGCTTCTTTTGGTGACCCAAAGAAGATTCCTCCTGCCATGGCCATCATAGCTCCATTGTTTGCAAAATCTTCTACATTCTACAACCCTTGCATTTATGCGGTTGCTAATAAAAAGTAAGTAATGTCTAAAATGCTTGCAAATACAAAATAAAACTGATACAAAAAGAATGTTAAGACTTTTTGGGAGAAAGTGACAGAAACCCACTTTCATCTGTCATAAAGGTTATTTGGCTCATGTGACTGGAGCAGCATCTAGGAGCTTAAATGCCTAGAGCTCCAGATTTGTAACAGACTCTTCCCAAATAGTGGCAGAGATTATCGTGGGCAACCCAAGACCCAAGTTCTACCAGCAAAGCATCCCCAAATGCCAGCTGCATCACAGATAGCTCTCTGGCAGAAAAGCTCCTGGAATGTCAGTGGTCAGCTTGGTTCAAATGGTTACCCCACCCCAAAATACACGGAATAGTGGTTTCCAAAGAAAAGAGTGATTCTATTACTGGAAAATGGACGAGGCAATATTGGGCTCCCTTGGTGGGTAGTATAAATGTATGTTTACAAGAAAGAAGACATATCATTCAAATACAAGAGAAAAGTTCAGTGCCAACATAAAAGGCTTCGGGATACTAGAGAATTCTTCCCTCCTCTCTTTTTTGGATTTCTCAGCAAAGTGTTCCTTTCCTGCCTTCTCCGTGAAGTTTAGATTGTTTCATTTGTGTTACTGCTGGAAAAATGAAATAAATCAATCTACTGTGCTTAAATATTTGGCCAGAAAATTTCAGAAGAAGTTAGGTAATTTTATCCTGGAATGACAAAGTTTGGGAAAGCAGCTTTAGCTACAGGTATGTGAAGAAACATAAAATTTTACAGATCAAACAGACCACAAAAGAAGAATGAAGAACACATTTTAAAATCAGAATCTGCTGGTAGTTCTTTTGGAAAATTCAGTCATTCCCAAGCTCCCTTAATTTCAACTGGCCTTTGCTGGGAAGAACAGAGGCATGAAACACACATTGTTAGTTCAAATAAACAACTCATGGCATCTGACATTAGAAACATCCTTTTAAATATATATAAATATTAACTTTTATTAGATGTCTTCAATCTATAGAATCAACAGTGCAAAATTGGCCTTTAGTTATACCATATACCTTATATATTTATACAGGTTCTCAACAGGAAATCTGTAGAATCAACAGACAAAACTGGTCTTTATATATACCATATTCTTTATGTATTTATAAAGGTTATCAACAGGAGATATTAAAGTTGGAGACAGCAATCTATCCAGAGATGTAAATTAACAGTAGTGGCATCAGCCATATTTTAAAATGCTTTAGAAGTTTCAAATCATTATGAGTTAATGCCAGATTTTTCTTTTTTTATTGTAGGTTTCGGAGGGCAATGCTTGCCATGTTAAAATGTCAGACTCATCAAACAATGCCTGTGACAAGTATTTTACCGATGGATGTATCTCAAAATCCACTGGCTTCTGGAAGAATCTGAAAGGAGAGAAAAGGACATACTATCAAAACACTGTAGTTTTTGGCAATACTTTTATTTTAAATGAGTCAATTTAGATCAAATGCAGACATAGATCATTGTCCTGTTAGACTGTAAGTTCCTCAGGTGCACTCATGCTTCTTTTGTTTGTGCCTTGGCTGCTGTAGTGCATGCTATGTCCTGATATGTCAACTTATTGCTTATCTCCTTTGACGAATTAGGAATCTGAGGTTAAGGCCCCTTTCTTTCTCCCTATTATGGCATGCATTACACTGCACTGATGACCTTTAACTTTCCTGGCTCCTCCATTGGAATAGAAGCAGTCACCAATTTAATGTTAGAATAAATTAATAGTAACAATAATAATTAATAATTCTAGATAAATATGAAATGATGTTGGATGGTCCCCATTAGAATAGAAAGCATTTTTGCATTTCAACATTTTAATATTTAAATCAATTATTAACTTATGTTATTAAACAAAAATAATCAAATGAACATTAAACACGATGGTTTCTAAATAAAATGTTAAGTCAATTCATATATATATATATATATATAAAATATCATTATAACCTCTGTGCATATTTTTATGTTTTCTGAAATTTTTATTATCATTTTCCGCATATCTACTCCATGTATTTGCCACCAGAGTTAACATCAATCAGAGTGGAGATTTTTATGTTTGTTCTTTGATGGATCCTTAGCACATGTACCCAGTGCTGTCTGGTATGTAGTAGGCAGTCAATAAATATTTTTTCAATGTTGAATGAATTTGGAGACTCACATATTTGTCATTTTAAATGACTATTAAGCATAGTACAATATACCATTGTTTATATAACAGACAATTAAATTGCTTTCCAGTTTTTAGTTTCATGGATGTATCACTGAGAACATTGTAGTATAAATATATTTTTTCTTTGGGAGAAGTTATTCTATTTGAGTGGTTTTTTCAGACTAGAAATACTGGATACAAATACAAAAACACTATTATTGTTGCTAGTTTGCTTTCTGGAAAGATAGAATTAGTTTACACTGGAATTAGTTTACACTGTAATTGCAGTATCTAAGTGAGCTTTTCACTGCATATGCCTGCTACTAGTGCTGTATATATTTAAATTATGAGTTATATACTCGAACTCAAATTCATTTTATTTCACATTTCTTTAACTGCTAATGAGGCTGTGTCTTTGCATATTGTATTTTTTAATCTTTATTTTGTCATCCTGTAAATTGTCTCTTTAGCATATTAAGTACAATCTAGGCATTAATTTTATGTGTACAGTCCTCTAGGTATATGGAAAGGTAAGCTGCTGTAGTAATCTCCTACCTTATCGCCTCACTTTCTGGCTTTCCCACAGCAATCAATACATACAACTGCAAATCAATACAATGTCATAGCTAATCTTTTAAAAATAAAGTTCCAATGCCCAAAGTCTTATAAACCTCTCAGCTAGATTTTCAAGGCCCTCTTTAACATACCCCCAAAGGGACTTTTCAGCTTTTGTCTTTCTTCATGGCTAAATAAAATGTTTAGTGTTCCCAGAGAGTTCTGAGTGCATTGTGTCGCTAGCTCTTTGCTCGTCCTGTCTACTGTAGCTGAACCTTTTTACAGGAAGAGTATAGTGAAATCTGTGTCCAGAGTCCCAAAGCCATTAAAAGGCCAGGACAACATCTGTAATAATGTCTAGGAAAATGGACTCAAGAGTTCCAGTTTGCAAAGCCGTGAACTCATTTCCAGTGATAAGTAAGAAACAACTTTGCCTCAAATATAAAGGAGGTCAACGGTGTACAGTACTTATATTTCAATGCTATATTATCAATTAATTTGCTTATATGATAAAACTAGGAAGACCTGGCTTTGGTTACATAGTTCCCTCTGACCTCTTAGTTTACTAGTTTCTGATGTTTTTATCTTTAAACAGCGTTTCTCTATTCAATTTGGCATGTCTTGCCCCCGTGTAAGTCGTGACATCTGTGAAATTAATAATTCAAAAAATCTCTTGGTCTTTTGGCAATCAGAGCTTTACCCATCCTATTTCTCCTTCCTCTTGTGCTCAAAAACTCAGGGCCATCACCTCTCACTGCATCTCCAACACTGTGAAGCCTGAGGGTTGTTCTTAAATCCCTTCTTCATCCCTATACCTAATTAATCATTTCTCTCACCCGGATGTTTCCTCAAGCTGCATTATCCTAACTATTTCCAGCACAGCAGTCAAGGCTGTAGCCTGATGGCTGCTTTCCTGGACTATAACCACAGACATCCACCCGAAGCCTCCTCCTTTCTTGCTGCTTGCTCTATCTAAACCTTTTCTCCACACAGCCACCAGAGAATTCTTCCTAAAAGGATAAGCTGTTGTGCCACTCCCAAGTCTAACTTTTATTGCTCCCATTGCCTATAGGCTGAGCGTAAGCTCTCCATCCAATTGAAGGGTTTCCTTGATAACATCATCCCCACTTACCTCTCCAGCTTTATCTTTTTTAACTTCCTGCCTCAAAATCTTATGCCTGAGCAACAAGAAGTGCTTGCAGTTCTCTGAAGACAATACACTCATTCTCTCTTCTCTCCCTTTGTTTCCACTATTCCCTTTGCTTGCAATGCCCCTTTTTGGATTTTCCCATAATGCATCATCATGCACCCTGTAAATGGCAGCCAGGCACCACCCACCTTAGGAAGTCTTGCTTGACTAACATAAGCTGGATTTGATGTTCTTTTCTTGTGCTTCTTGAGTACTCTGTTCCTCTCTTTATCATGTGAGTTCCTTGCGTGTAATAACTGTCTTGTTCATCTTTGTACCCCTCAGTGCTCAGCAGAGAGTAAGTACTCGGTAAATATTTGACAAACAAATGAATTGCACAGAATCTGGAAACCTGCAGTGTTTTATTTTAATTGAGCGCAGTTTGTCAGACTATGGCTCTTATATGAATTCTATTAGTTTTCAACATTTCCTGTAATATACTTATTTTAATAGATTTAATTTTCTTTTAAAAAAGTTTTTAGTTTAAAGAGAATGGTTAGAAGTGGCCACTAAGAAGGTTAAATAACATATATTTATTTCTTAAATCCTTGAGTGACTCTGTGAATTCTCCATTTTATGTGTGTGGAGATAGTTTTATAATTTAATTACATATAATTCATATTTTCTGATAGAGCCTAATATAGCTAAAAGAATTAGAGTTGATCGTCAAATATGGCTTTGATGCAGATAACTTGGGAAACTATTGAACAGAGATAGATGCCTGCATTAAAAATAAATGTGCTGGGATAAACCTTCCACACACTGAGATGATCTGGAAGAGTCCTAGAACACATTCTCACTGGAGAACTTAGTCCTGCCACGAGTAGTTGGTTGAAGCATTTTCCCCATAAAATCTATGTAATGGACTTGTTTATTTTTAGAGATAACCAGTATGTGGCAACATCAATAACTCTTTTCTAAATCATTCTTTTGTCATGTGCCTCTATTTTTAAAACTAAATTAGTAAAACTGAATTAGTTATGCATGCTGGCAAAAACCAAATGTAAAATGTTGTATAATGTTGTAACATGTAAATAATCTACAGAATTTTCTAGCATCTGCCAAGATCAAATTATTTTTAACGTTAAGTGTATTTTTAAGGTGCAGTGGTAAGTATATCCAGAGGAAAGGGATTTAATAGGCATTTCTTTGCAAATCAAGCTATGGGTAACTATTGAAATTGCTTGTCATGTGTTTGATTTTCATTTTCCTTAGAATGTGTTACTTTGCTGAAACTGTATTCAAAGACTGGGTCAATTGATCTCCTGCAAGATACACTTGAAGGTTAAGTAACTACAGATCTCAGCTAATCCTGTGTAATCTGCTGTTACTAAATGGCTGTTTGCATTCCGGGCACACCAGTTTCTGAATGCTTAGGATTTGGTTACCTTTTGTTTAAATAACCTCTGAAAGGAGCGATGCATCTCTTTGCATGTCTGTGCATTGTCCTTAGCATTTTGGAAGGAGTGGGCTGTTCGTGTCCTTCACAGTGCATGTGTGATTATCACGGCAGAAATGACGGCTTGGGATCAAGGTATGCTCCTCTGCTTGCTACTAAATGTTCTCATTATTTTGACAAAAAGGACCCAAACAAGAGAGCCTACTTTTGAAAGCAAATGTTTGAGGATCAGAAATCACAGAAGAGAAGGTTTAATGTCCATAAACTTCAACTTAATTGTATTAATACTGGTCACCTACTCCTTCACTGTTTTCATTTCGAGCAGTTTGACTCTTAAAGGCCTCTCAAGTTATTGGAAATTTCTAAACACATTCTGTGTTCCCAAATTTTTTTTATGCTCATGTTTGCAAAATGTTGCTTGAGGTCAAACCATTTAAAGGTGCATGGCCAGCCCTTGATTATAGGAAGCCTAAGAGGGCAGGGCTGAACAGGAGCTGTGGGACATGCCCAGATCCTTTGCTTTCGGGGCTCTCCACTTCCTTTGAGGATTATTTGGCAGGAAGGAAGATCTCAAGTGTAAACTCAGAAAGGTTAATAGAATATTTCATTTTAAGCTGATTGAATTTACAAAGTAAAGAAGATTGAAAAAAAAAATACTGTCTGTTGCAGACACTGAAGGATCCTCACAGAAGTTATTCAATCCCTAGGTGGTTTTAGCATCTGCTTGTGTAGTGAGAATAGTTATTTGCTTATAAGGTGCATGAGGCCTTTTAGATATGTGAAATGCAAAACAGAACTCTTGCTAGCTAAACATGGTAGAACTTGAATTTTTTTTTGAGAGGGCATTTAATAACAAAATCAGACTATTTGTGACTTGATTGAAGTAAATGGTGAGTCTCAGACAAAATAATTTGTGAAAAGAATTGCCCAATTTATGTCTTATAACTTTAAACAAATAAATAATAATAACTAAGACATATTTGGTAAAAGCTTATGTTGTTATTGTATAAACTTTACTTAACCAATTCTTGGTATTTTTTGAGATATTCACTGGGTGGTTACAGACAAGAGAATGTAGCAAATTAAAGACCTACTTGTCCAGGGGTGTTCAGCAGTGAAGATCAGGCCAGGTTACTTTTGAGAAACAATCATAGAAATGTTTCCTTCTCTGTGGTGACCCCATTATTGATGGATTTTATAAAAATTATAGAATATTAGCCCTGGTAAGAAATAATCTAGTTCAACCCCTTGTCAGTTTATACGTGAAGAAACTAAACTGTACGGAGACCAAGTGACTTGTCCTAGGTTATATAATTGTGTTGATGTAGTAGCTAAGTTGGTAAAGATGCTAGATCTTTTTGTGTACACACTGGGCTTTCTTCTATGATAGAATGCTGAAACGCTTTCTTAATGAGTAGAAACTGGTATAAAGTAGCACTGAAATCTGTGATACAAAATAGAGATGAAAAGTAAGAGATATCCCTAGAGAATTTCAAAGATTCCATGAGGTCTTCTCCTGAAGTTATAGAAAGGAGATAACAAATTGCAGCTTTATGCTGCTTACATTTGTATACATTATGAGCAGCTTTTCAGATCTACCGATTTAATGTGATTTTCACTAACGGGTGAAATTTTTTTCACCCTTTTTATTGCAATTATGTACTGAATTTATAGTGTGCTACAATTTGTATGATATTTTGCAAAACTTCTTATTGTTCATTTTTAGTAATTCGGATGAATGTATCATAGGAAATAAATAGGTATTTTCCAGGCTAAAACGAATCTAAATTCTCAGATTCCTCATACTTTAAATTTACACATGGGACAGTGTTGTTTTTCTTTTTTCTTTCTTTTCTTTTTTTTTCTATTCTGAGATGCAGTCTCACTCTGTCACCCAGGCTCGAGCTCAGTGGCGCAACCTTGATTCACTGCAAACTCTGCCTCCTGGGTTCAAGCGATTCTCCCACCTCAGCCTCTGGAGTAGCTGGGATTACAGGCATCCACCATCACACCTGGCTAATTTTTGTATTTTTAGTGGAGATGAGGGTTCACCATGTTGGACAGGCTGGTCTCGAGCTCCTGACCTCAAGTGATCTGACTGCTTTGGCCTCCCAAAGTGCTGGAATTACAGCCACCTTGCCCAGCTGGTACAATTTCTATGCCTGTTTTATGTGTGCCAACAAACAAGATCAAAATGTGACTCGCTCAAGGTCAACTCCTAGTTTCTGGTTTATTCCTTAGGCAGAAAGCAATGTGCAAGTCACGTTGTTAAAACAGAGCTCAACTTTAAACGTGTACTGTGAACACTTGTTTTTTTCTTTCACCTAAATAAATTATCCTCTTAAAAAGTATTGATTTCCGATTTTAACAGGCGATTCTTTAAAAATGGGCCATTTCCTAAACAGATGCACTTTGAAGATGGACAGAAGTGGTTTTGAAAGGTGACTGCAAAACCTACTAGTTGGGTGACCTTGGGAAGTTACTGAATGTTGGTGGGCCTCAGTTACTTTCCATGTACAACCGAGGTTATTGACAGTAACAGCAAACACCTACTGAGTATATATTATGTACCAGGAAGTTGTAAAGTTTTACATCCATTGTAACTAACCATCATAACAGGCCATATGGGAAAATGAGGTTGAGACACTGGTGAAGTGGCTTTAAGAGGTGGCAGACCTTAGACCCTGGATTGTTTTGATCCAAGATCAGTGTGACTCTAAAGCAGGCACTTTTACCTGTTACCCAATGTCTGCCTCCTGGGGTTGTTGTGATGATTAAATAAAGTCATGGATGTGACCTTGTTGAGCAGGGCTTGCATGTTAAGATCTTCATAAATATTAGGTTGAACCACATGAAATTGCTGATATTTGATTATTTTTTACTATCTTGGCTATTTCATATGGTTCAACCTAAAAGTAGCTGCTGTCACGATGAAGAAGAAGATGCACTATTAGAGAACAGGTTAACCAGAGTAAATATTTTTTGAACACTAATAGGGAATAAAAATTTATATATATTGAGATGGAGTCTCACTTTGTCACCCAGGCTGGAGTGCAGTGGTGCGATCTTGGCTCACTGCAACCTCCACCTCCTGGGTTCAAGTGATTCTCCTGCCTCAACGTCTTGCATAGTTGGGACTATAGGTGCCTGCCACCACGACCAGCTAATTTTTGTATTTTTAGCGGAGATGAGGTTTCACCATATTGGCCAGGATGGTCTCCACTCCTGACTGCAAGTGATCTGCCCATCTTGGCTTCCCAAAGTGCTGGGATTACAGGCATGAGCCACCGCCTGGCTGAAAATTGATATTTTTCAAATGAGAAATATTTTTTTCAAATGGGTGTTGGAGAGTTAGTTTCCTCACATTGCTCTTTTTGTGACACTAGGTTGGTGCTATGTAACGACATGGATATGAATGAGCTCCCTACAAACCTCCCCGTGGATACCGTGAAGCTTCGCATAGAGAAGACTGTCATCCGCAGAATCTCCGCAGAGGCCTTCTATTACCTAGTAGAACTTCAGTACCTCTGGGTGACTTACAATTCCGTGGCCAGCATTGACCCCAGCAGCTTTTACAACCTGAAGCAGCTGCATGAGTTGCGCTTGGATGGAAATTCTCTGGCTGCTTTTCCTTGGGCATCTCTGCTGGACATGCCCCTTCTGAGGACCCTGGATTTGCACAATAACAGAATAACCAGTGTGCCAAACGATGCACTCAGGTATCTGAAGAACCTTGCCTACTTGGATTTATCGAGCAACAGACTAACCACATTGCCAGCAGATTTCCTGGAGAGCTGGTCTCATTTAGCTACAACACCTTCTGGAGGCTTGGACCTTTCCCCAAGCAGGGTTATTCTTGGTAAGCTTGCGAGCCTCTGGGCTTTTCATCTGTAGATAGCCTGCTACGCATAGCTTTTGTTGTCCAGTCTTTTAAAATCTATTGGATTTGGTTTTTTACTCTGTGATTGCAATTTTAGTGGAATAGTATCTTATTGGTTAACCTAGGTCAAGTTACCTCTTTCCCCTGTGTAAATTGTAAGGGCTGTGTGTGTGTGTGTGCATGCCTGTGCGTATATACATGTGTGAAGAAAGTGGAGGAGAACTTGCGTCAGAAATGGAGAGAGGACCATTTCTCTTAAAGAGCCTCCAGCTGAGAGACAGAATCCACCAACCTGCCTAGACTCCAGTGAGCACAGTATTGCTCCACACTCTGGTACAAACTTCTGCTCAGTTTACTTTTGAACTCTTCATTAGGTTCCTTCTGGCATCTTTATTCGATAGCAGTGGCTTCATTGGTTAGGAAGAACAGTGTCTAAATTTCCTTAATCTGAAAAGAAGTGGTGGAAGCACCAGTTATTTTCCTGGCCCCAAATGGTTCTCCTAACGGATTTGGTCTCTTAGTTTAGTTGTGACTAGTTTGGGAATTTTGAACTTGGCCTTGTTTAGGTTCTGTTAGGATTATTTTTTTTCTTTGTTATACTTTATGTGCAGAATGTGCAGGTTTGTTACACAGGGGTACCAGTGCCATGGTGGTTTGCTGCATCAATCAACCCATCATCTACATCAGGCATTTCTCCTAATGCTATCCCTTCCCTAGCCACCCACCCCAACAGGCCCCGGCGTGTGATGTTCCCCTCCCTGTGTCCATGTGTGCTCATTGTTCAACTCCCACTTCTGAGTGAAAACATGCAGTATTTGATTTTCTGTTCCTTTGTTAGTTTGCTGAGAATGATGGTTTCCAGCTTCATTCATGTCCCTGAAAAGGACATGAACTCATCCTTTTTATGGCTGCATAGTATTCCATGGTGTATATATGCCACCTTTTCTTTATCCAGTCTATCACTGATGGGCATTTGGGTTGGTACTAAGTCTTTGCTATTGTGAATAGTGATGCAATAAATAAACGTGTGCATGTGTCTTTATAATAGAACGATTTGTAATCCTTTGGGTATATACCCAGTAATGGGATTGCTGGGTCAAATGGTATTTCTGGTTCTAGATCCTTGGGGAATCACCACACTGTCTTCCACAATGGTTGAACTAATTTACACTCCTACTAATAGTGTAAAAGTGTTCCTGGCCAGGCGTGGGGGCTCATGCCTGTAATCCCAGTACTTTGGGAGGCCGAGGTGGGCAGATCACAAGGTCAAGAGATTGAGACCATCCTGGTCAACATGGTGAAACCCCATCTCTACTAAAAATACAAAAATTAGTTGGGTGTGCTGGCACCAGCCACCACGGGAGGCTGAGCCAGGAGAATTGCTTGAACTTGGGAAGCAGAGGTTGCAGTGAACTGAGATCATGCCACTGCACTCCAGCCTGGCGACAGAGTGAGACTCCATCTAAAAAAAAAAATCGTTCCTATTTCTCCACATCCTCTCCAGCATCTGTGGTTTCCTGACTTTTTAATGATTGCCATTCTAACTGGTGTGAAATGGTATCTCATTGTGGTTTTGATTTACATTTCTCTAATGACCAGTGATGAAGAGCTTTTTTTTTCATATGTTTGTTGGCCACATAAATGTCTTCTTTTGAGAAGTGTCTGTTTATATCCTTTGCCTACGTTTTGATAGGGTTGTTTTTTTTTCTTGTAAATTTGTTTAAGTTTCTTGTAGATTCTGAATATTAGCCCTTTGTCAGATACATACATTGCAAAAATTTTCTCCCATTCTGTAGGTTGCCTGTACACTCTGATAATAGTTTCTTTTGCTATGCAGAAGCTCTTATGTTTAATTAGATCCCATTTGTGAATTTTGGCTTTTGTTGCCATTGCTTTTAGCATTTTAGTCATGAAGTCCTTGCCCATGCCTTTGTCCTGAATGGTATTGCCTAGGTATTCTTCTAGGGTTTTTATGATTTTAGGTCTTATGTTAAAGTCTTTAATCCATCTTGAGTTAATTTTTGTATACGGTGTAAGGAAGGGATCCAGTTTCAGTTTTCTGCATATGGCTAGTCAGTTTTCCCAACATCATTTATTCAATAAGGAATTCTTTCCCCATTGCTTGTTTTTGTCAGGTTTGTCAAAGATCAGATGGTTGTAGCTGTGTTGCATTACTTCTGAGGTCTCTGTTCTGTTCCATTGGTCTATATCTTTGTTTTGGTACCAGTACCATGCTGTTCTGGTTACTGTAGCCTTATAGTACAGTTTGAAGTCAGGTAGCATGATGTCTCCAGCTTTGTTCTTTTTGTTTAGGATTGTCTTGGCCATATGGGCTGTTTTTTGATTCCATATGAAATTTAAAGTAGTTTTTTCTAATTCTATGAAGAAAGTCAGTAGTAGCTTGATGGAGACAGCACTGAATCTATAAATTACTTTGGATAGTATGGCCATTTTCATGATATCGAGTTTTCCTATCCATGAGCATGGAATGTTTTTCAATTTGTTTGTGTTCTCTCTTATTTCCTTGAGCAGTGGTTTGTAGTTCTCCTTGAAGAGGTCCTTCACATCCCTTGTAAGTTGTATTCCTAGGTATTTTATTCTCTTTGTAGCAATTGTGAATGGGAGTTGACTGATGATTTGGCTCTCTGTTTGTCTATTATTGGTTTATAGGAATGCTTATGATTTTTGCACTTTGATTTTGTATCCTGAGACTTTGCTGAAGTTGCTTATCAGCTTAAGGAGATTTTGGGCTGAGATGATGGGGTTTTCTAAAGATACAATCATGTCATCTGCAAGCAGAGACAAATTGACTTCTTCTCTTCCTATTTGAATACTCTTTTTTCTGTTGCCTGATCGCTTTGGCCAGAACTTCTAATATTATGTTGAATAGGAGTGGTGAGAGAGGGCATCCTTGTCTTGTGGCAGTTTTGAAAGGGAATGCTTCCAGCTTTTGTCCATTCAGTACGATATTGGCTGTGGGTTGTCATAAATAGCTCCTATTATTTTGAGATACAGCCCATCAATACCCAGTTTATTGAGAGTTTCTAGCATGAAGGGGTGTTGAATTTTATTGAAGGCCTTTTCTGCACCTATTGTCTATTGAGATAATCATGTTGTTTTTGTCATTGATTCTGTTTATGTGATGGATTATGTTTATTGATTTGTATATGTTGACTAGCCTTGCATCCCAGGGATGAAGCTGACTTGATTGTGGTGGATAAGCTCTTTGATGTGCTGCTGGATTCAGTTTGCCAGAATTTTCTTGAGGATTTTCACATTGATGTTCATCAGGGGCATTGGTCTGAAATTTTCTGTTTTTGTTGTGTCTCTGCCAGGTTTTGGTATCAGGACTATGTAAGGCTGGTTCAGCATAATAGCTGGAAGATACTATTTCCCTACCTATCTTTCTAAGTTTCCTGGAAAGTAATTCTTGGTTCTAATAGAATTACCCAGTGGTGTAATATACTAGAAAATAAAATTCAATTACTACATTGCAATTAATAGCTTTCTAATGATCAATTACTAATATTACTATGAAGAAGCAATTTATAGAACATTCATATTTTTTCCTTGGGAGTTAAATCTGGATGGGAACTTAGGGATCAAAGGAAAAATGTTATGACATTTTACTAGCCATAGGAAGTTACCTGAACAGTTTTAACTGCATTTTAGGGTCCAGATTTTTTAAAAGCAGTAACATGAAAATACTTTTGTATAACATTAAATTGTAAAAACAGGCTATGCAACTGTATAAAAAGCATGAACATAACTATTTAAAAATGTGCAAAGGCAAAGACTGAAAAGAAATTCACTAGCTGAATTTCTTTTAAATTCTGCTTAACTGTTTTCTTTGTGTGACAACTTTTCATTTTTTTATGTTTCCAAAATGTTCTGCAATGGTCATGCATTACTTTTATAAAGATAAAAATAATCATGATAATAAATAACAAAGGATAGTTTGAAGCATGTGACATCTGACCTTAGCAAAGCCATGTTTGATGTGTTACCAAAAGAAGAAAAAGAGAGGACCAATTGATGTGGATAAATCACACACAGAAAACTCAGTTTTTTTCATCTGGAAAATGGTGATGGTAGGGCTTGCTCCATGTTGTTCATAGGACTGTAATGAGAAGAAATTGAAATATTTTATGTAGCTGTTCTTTAGAATATGAAGTTCACAGTCTCTGAGATTATGCTTTTAGATCAACGATTTTCTATAGAAGCTGTGACTGGGATGAGAGTGTCCTATAAAGACTTCTTTGTTTGGCCTTTTTGTTATTCCAACAATATTTGAACCTTTAATTGCATCATTGAATGTAGAGAACCAGTCCTAGCTTTTCTAGAACATAGTGTTTAAGTATAGCAATTATATCTTTCTGGGTGTCCTGTAGAATTTGCTTCTGTTCTGATATGGTGGGATACAGCCTACTTTAATTTTTATTACTCTCTGTTGATTATTGTTAGCAGATGGGGGTTCTATTTGTAATAATAATATTAATAGTTAATTTGATGGAATTACTCAATGCCAACCTAGTTCTTACACTTGACCTATGTGACTTCTAGTCTCACATTAACTCTATAGTAAATACCACTTCATCTCCATTTTATAGATGAAAAAATAAGACACAAGTTAAGCCACTTGCCCAAATTCACTCATCATATAGTGGTGGAGCTGGGTTTTGAGGACAGGCCATCTGGCTCCAGACCCCAGGTCCTTCTCCCCTTCTTTATAATGTGAAGTATATAGTAACAACAGAGTTCCTTTCTTCATATATTCATTACTTTACTGACCACTTTAGATCATATATGTATGTAATAAAAACATTAAGGTGATGCTTTTCAATTACTCTTTCTCTTCTACAGGAGTAAAAACATCAACTTAGTAAAATTGTCGTTTATTGTATCCATGAAAACTTAAACTATTGCCCTGCAAATCAACATTGGAATTAACTATAAAATTAAATTTTAATTTGCAATAC